AGGACCATACTTCCAGACATCGAGTGCTGAACCGTCGTATGGCAGCGCGAAGCATTTACGGCTACGCCGGAGATTTTGGCCCCGACACCGCTATCCGAAGATTTACAGACTGATCAGGAAGCTCGGCCGAAGCCTAAGGGAGAGGTTAGTCGGCCCCTAGACCGTAGATGATTAACCCCTTGCTATGACCAGCAAACTCAGAAGTCATGATGGTGACGCTGGTGGCTATGAATGCATACTCACCCTTTTCCATGTGGGATGTGTTTATGAAAACTAAGAGAAAGTGCATCATAGCAAAATAGACCTCTTATGTATATTCTGTAATATTAAAAATGTCTTACTAAGTATCAAGTATATTGTGTATACACTCAATTGAACAATCGTTGTCGGGTTCAGAAACATAGAACATAAAAGCTGAGACCGAAATGGCACATGGGAAATGACATAATTATATTATAATTTATTCATTTGCGCCATCCATGCAGTCGGTCTAGAATGCCAAACGCGTATGAAAACAGTGGATGATGCCACAGGTCGCCGGTCACAGCATGCATCTAATTAACGTACTTTCCATTGCTATTTCGGTCTCAGTTTCTATGTTTTATGTTTCTGAACCCGACAACGATTCTTCAATTGAGTGTATTCCGTATTATCACACCTCACTAGTGTCATCTGCATACAGACTACTCTACTGAATGATGTCGAAACCCTTTCAAACGTTGAGCGACAAGGAAGTTTTGTCTCTAAAAGCAATTATGAATATGTTGGAAAATACAGGAAGAATAGCGTAATGTGAGAGCGAAGAAGAGTGAAACAGTAAATTTGCCAATTTAGTTTGATTTTTTAAAAATTTAGTCCCTACTAGTTCCAAAACCCTTAGATATTATTGCACTCGGTTTTGGTTAGACTACCTGTTTTATTTTATTTTATTTTATTTTATTTTTGTTTTTGTTTTTGTTCGTTTATGTTCGTCTATTGTGCGAACGCTATCGAAAACTGAACTCAGATCGATCTCGGAAATGTGTCGTTAGAAGAAATCGTTTGCCACACACCACAGGGTGGCACACAAATATTACAAGACAAGTGTGATTATTCAAATATAATTCACAGTATTTTAATAATCAGCATATTTTGTAATTCAAATACTGTTTACATGTAGTTTTATCTAGATAAAATTATGCTAAACTTGTTCACGTACAAATACATAGTGTCTAATCAGATCGCAGGTGAAATGGCCATGGAAAGCGGGTCGTCGGTGAATTAACTATTCCTTTCCATTCAATTGGGTATCCTCAGTAAATGAGGTAGATGTTTACTTCTTGCCGCAACAAGCTGGAGCGCACGATGGCTGGCAGACTGGCATTGGTGGTGGTGGAGGGGGTGGGCACATAATCATTGGTGGAGGAGGTGGGCAAACCATTGGTGGTGGAGGTGGAGGTGGTTGACAACAAGGCATAGGGCAGATCTTCATGCAATGATGGATACAGATTGGAGGACACTGAGGAGCAGGGGGTGCAGGGGCACCAGGAGTTCCTGGTGGTCCAGGGGGTCCCATTGGTCCCATTGGGCCTCCAGGGCCTGGCATTCCTGGCATTCCTGGAAATCCACGGCATCCGGGAGCTCCAGGGGGACCCATACAACCAGGAGGTCCGGGTGGACCTGGCATTGGTGGTGGTGGCGGAGGGGGAGGTGGCATGCACATGACTGGTGGTGGTGGTGGTGGTGGGCACATGATTGGTGGTGGTGGTGGTGGCGGCGGTGGGGCTGCACAGCAGGATGGAGTACACATTGGAGCACAAACTGGTGCACATGACATCCCACATGGATTAGCGCTACGCTTCTGGATAACTTCTGTAAAGCAAAAATAAAGATAGTTTCAATTATTTAATCATAAGGAACATTGCGATCTTATCGTAGTTCGTGGATCAAAGCTATGACGATACCATTCATGTCACAGATTATATTACCATTACTGTGTGATTTTGAGAATGTAATACTCTTTGCAAAAACGAGTGGGGATCAACTGAGTATTTGTGTACATACTTCGAGATTCGAACACAAAATATTAATAACACTATTCCATCATACCCCTCGAGATATCCACAGCAGAGCTCGTCGCGTCCTAACTTCGGACCTCATAACGGCAATACTCCAGTTTCGAATGAATTCTCCGCCTGTTGTACAGAGTTAGCCTCTATTTGGAATATTTGAATATTCATTAAGCGAAGGTCCGTGAAACTTCAAAGTGTTTGTTTAGTTGAAGTTGTGCATTAATTACTTTGATTTTTTCCCTCTGTGGTCAAGGAACACAGCTGTATTTGAGTAATTCGAGAACGGTCTATTAAGATGTACTGTAAGTAATGGTAATGCTCTAGCCTTCGACCAGGGGATAGACTAACCGGCTCCCAGACCGTAACTACAGGTAATCTCTTACACTATATCTGCAAAGCTTGTCGACTTGAAGTGGAAAATAATCTAGTCTACGTGCATTGGTTTCACGACTATTGTTGTGCTATGATGATTGTCGGGCTTAATTCCAAGATGCTGAGTCAGGCCCGAGTGATTGGATCAAAGGATCCTAGCAAAATTATCTTTAGTTTACGTTTTCAATTTCAACTAAGTAAAATTCATAGAATAGATATCAAGATTTGCTGTTTTTGCTCCGCAATTCGTCATAGATCGAATAGTCCAAGCCACTCATTACCATAATTTTGTAAATTTATAGTTGGCTCAACATTAAATCAAAGTTTAGTGAAAACCCAAAAGAATGTACGTATCTTGTCGTATTACCGGGAGGGGAATGAATATCGAGATCCTATTTCCACAAACATAAATTAAGTATGAAGTGAAGGCTCTTTAATCTTTACATGAGAAGAGGGCCCGTGAGAAACTGGGACCGAAACTAATGACGACAGCCAGGAGAATATGTATATGTGGGATGGGTTGTTTATTTTACAAGTTGGTTTGGGTAATTTATCACGTAAGAGACCTAGCGTTCTCATTTGTAATTTACCTGCCTTTGGCAATTCTATAAATGAATAAAATATTGAGCATTTTCTAAAACATTTTCGTTTTTCTAATATTGGTTAGAAAAAAAATCCTAGTGAATGTTTTTCAATGATCATTCCCAGAAGTTAATGGTCGTTAAGGTTAAAGGTTAAAGGTTAATTTTGTTCATGAATTTCATGAAAAGGGCAAAACTGTTTTCATGCATGGTACACTGCTATAGGCCGGGGGGGGGGGGGTGTACTCCCATATATGGACTATATGGGGCAGGGCGCAAAATGCCTATTGTTTTACGGACATATTCAAATTAGGCGCGCTGAAACAAAAGCATCCCAATAGCGCATTGTTATTGGTTATTGCCGTCA